AGAACTGTTTCTGAAAAAGCTTTTATATAAATAAATTTAAGTATTGATAAGTTTGAACATGAATTGTGACACAGTAAGTTCTCGAATTCAGCTGCACAGACATCTGCATTACAGAAGGTACGGTGCACGGGAATCAGTGTTTCTTGGGGGGTCTTTAAGGTGGCTAAAAACAAGAGTTCCAAAAAAGTTTCTCTGTTGGCAGGAAATGAATAGTTTGTAGAATAATGAATGAGCTTCTTTGCAACTTTCTGATGGTTTTGAGTTGTTGCTTGATATTAGAAACAAAAAGTTAGAAGCATTTTTGTTAAATGCTTTAGTGACTGTTTACTAACAAGATTTTTTCGGAATACTTGCAAAGTTTTTTTGGGAATAGATTGTTTCGTATTGAGTTATGTACGGATTACTATACTCATAGAGTAATTTCAGATAAGGTACACCGTCTGCTCGTCACGCTATCTTATTTTTGGCCGGATAGATTCGTGCAACTTCTTATTCTAATACCGATCTTAATCTTACTCTTATATCTCCTAGTCTCAATAGATCTAGTGTATACTGGTTTATGCGAGTTAGTTTCCAGAAGGAGAACAACTGTATTCTAAGTTTAATTCAAATTGCTCTGTTGCTGAAACTACAAGTAATTTCAGCACTTACAAATAAGTGTAAATGTTAGTTATGGAATATGATTGGTTAGTTAAGAATATTTTATAGAATTAGAGAATTATTTTTATAACCAATTATAAATTCTAGTTTAGAACTGGTTCCATTATCATTGATGCCAGAAACAATTACAGAAACGTTACCACTTTCTTTTGCTAGTTACTTATCACTCTCTGCTTGTGAACTGCTAATCAACCGACTCTCCGAGACTTTATCGAAACGGAAAAAAAAAGAATTTGTTACTGAGCATGCTTGGTTAGTTAAAATACAAAGTTAGGTAGCGCAGTCATATGCTGTATGCAAAATATATCACTTTATACTTTACGTAGCGTATGGGGATAAGATTTCCGAAAAAAATGCATTTTTTAATTTACTTTTTACCTTTTTTAAATTAATATACCAGATTTTTTAAAGCGAACACTATTCCTATGCCTACAAAGTTTTTGTTTGTCTAAAAACGTAGAATAGTTTTAAAAATTCTGAACTAATGGTTTTTTCTTCGTTTTGTTTTCCTTCCCCTTTCACGCTATATAAAGTACAAAAACACCAACTTTGGCACTGGTAACGCCTTAGTAAGAGCAAAATAATTGTCTTAAGGGAATTTGAAACAATTTAATTTGGCGCTGATTTTTAATAGCACGAAATATATAGCACGTTTATTATCCCAAATTGACCATTTTTAAACGTTAGAAAAAAGAGATCACAGATAAAATATTAGTTTAAATTTGCACTCAGGTTTTTCAGATTGAACGAACGGATCCCATCAAAAATAGCCAGTTAAAAAGTCGACATTTGCTTGGAGGAAAAATCACCTCGAGCACAAAAAATCCGTCTCTTTTCTTGCATGTCGGAACACAAAATCGAGAAACCATATTAAAAATTGACATGAAAAATGACAATGATGTCCTTGAATTGAAATTCAGCTTTAGCTTAAAGATAACAGAAAAAGTAATCGGTAGAATATGAAAAAGTACCTCTTAGACTAAAAAAAGTACCGTAAAATACGGAAATACGAAACTCGATTTTGAAGGAGCTTGGAAGCAAAGCGACAGAAAGCAAAATATACTACATGCCAGAGCCATAGAATTTTTGCACACGCCGGAGCCATGGGGTTTAGTTTTCTCTAGCCGGAAATCTGCATTCAAATTAGCTTCAAAGCTTATATTCTGTTGAACATTACTCTTCCAACTTTTGTAGAAAACGGAATATTTATTTTTGTTATTTATGACAGAAAATCTATTTGTTTTGTGGCCATTTTTGTTAATTATGACAGAAAATCTATTTGTTTTGTGGCCAATGTCAAGCGACAATCTCCGGCTCAGAGCTAATTGTTATTAGTAGCAAAATGAACTTTCATGTCAACACAAACCTGTAATTATGACACTAAAATTGTCACTAAAACAGTGCATATGCCATTCAAGAAAGCAAAATCCGTTTAAGAATCGAAGATTTGAAACATTCAGGAAATAAAATTTCGTTTTGTGAAAAGGATTCAAAGATTTTTAAGCTAGTTTGGAATAGGCTTAAGGTCTGTAATAATTTCAATCGAGGAATACTGCAGCTACTGGAAACCTCGAAACTAGCGATTGACTGTTACTCTTCACTTGGTAAGATGCTCATTTTAATCAAAATTGTCTCAAATTTTTTTTCATTATTGAAAAGTTTTTCAGTTGACATAATTTATGTAAGAAACTAAGATACTACTGAAATGTTTCCACCCACAATCGTTTAAATTTAAACAAAAACCTGATTATCAATATCGAATTTTGGTGCTTAGAGCAACTTAAGTCAAAACAAGACTGCTCGTATCAGGGCGAAGCCCTGAATGTTCCGACTGCCTCTTAAGGTCTATGGAGTAGTAAAAAATGAAAAAATTAAAAGTATAAAAATAGCATGGAAAATCTTTTTTTTTTAATTTGAGATTTTTTTTGTGGAAATCATCCCCCTTACGCCATATAAAGCACAGAGAGATAAATTTCGCTATTAGTAACGAATCAATTATGGCAAATGAGCTTCCTTTAACAAATTTGGAACGATTTATCCGGTGGATTAAATCTCCGCTTACGCTAATAGCGCGAATTATATTGCTTGTTAATTGTCGCAAATTGGCCAAAATGGCACTCTTTAAACCCCCATAACTTTATGAGAAATGATCACAGGTAAAAATATAAATTTTTTCTAAATTTAAGCTCAAGACAACAATACTTTTTAAATGATATAAAAATGGCTATTTAAAAAGTCAAAATTTGTCTGAAGAAAAAAACCACCCCGAGCACAAATATTCTTTTACTTTCACTACGAAAGTTGGAACAATTAGTCCGCAACTGATAAGTTTAAATAATTAGGTTATTAGTTGATCATAAGATTAGATTTATTTGTGCAGTTAAAAATGTTTTTACTCATGCACTGTATTTTTTTTAAAATATTTCAAATAGAAGTTTTACAGTTATCCTTTTCAAGTACCGTAGGCAACAAAGTTTTGACGGATGCGGTTTATCGAAAAAATTCTTTTTTTCTTATTTTTTTGTTGAGCAATCAATTTGATTTTTCAAACTCATTCCAACTTATAATAAATAAATCCTTCCCTGTGTTCAAGACAGTTTCTGCACCGCAGACAGCTTTTGAAAAGCAGGCCAAAAACGACGTTTTTGAGCCCTTTTTGAAAGGCTTTGAGCAAAATATCTCGGTTTTTTGACATGCGCTCTCCCTCGAAAAGAGCCTTTAGAAATATGTTAGAGTTGGTCTACCAGAATTGGCTATCGTAAATTAGTACCAAAACGGGACTCTTTAAATTATTGCCACTCAGAATTGAGGAGGGGGCGGGCAAAATAATGTTTATTTTGATTAAAATAGTCGTTTGGCTGCCTATGTTATAAATGACTGTAAAATAATTCTTCTCGTCTGAATGCAGGACTTTTATTTTTGCCTTTTTATAAACAAAAATATAATCAAACAGAAAATGAACACCTTTGAATTTGGCAAAATTAAAAGCTTAAAATATTTATTGGCAAACAGTTAAGCCAAAGACAAACTGTGACATTAAAACTCGTAATATGTTCAAACTTTTCCAGTTTTTTTTGTGTTGTTGATTTTATTATAGAGTTCTTATTTGAAAACCAATATAGATTGACAAATGTACATTCATAATTTGGTTCTTTTTTTTTCTGAATACAGGTATGCTATTTTAAATCTATTCTTTATTTTCATCTAAATAGAAGAAATTAGAGAAAGTATCTCCAATCCTGTAGCACTTAAGTTAAAGATGGTTTAATATGGAACATTGTTCAAAGTTAATTTTCAAAATTCACCTCGTTTTGGTGCTTATATTTTGCTCTAAATTTCCCAAGTAGTTATTTCACTCATCTTTCTCTGTTAAAAAGACCGGTTTTTGCGGTCAGGTTTTCCCCCTGCAGCTAATCAGTAGATGGATTGAATGTTCTCATAGCATTCTAATTGAGATTATGACCTTCTGAAACATTTTGTTTCCATCAAGTTCCGCGTGCATTGAACAAACAAAAGCACCAGTAAAAAAATACGAAATACCAAATGATCAGAAAATTGTTTCTCTCATTAATGTTTTTGATTTCTTCATTCCATCACCAATGTTTTTTTTAATTCAAACTCGAAGATCAAAGTGGATTAACCCATCATTTGCTAATCGTGTTGTACTTATTTGTCAACCAAATTTGTACAAAAATTGAGTACGCCATTGCCTAAAAAGTAGTACTGAATGAAATAATTATATAATGTTATAGTTAAATCAGAAAAAAATCAGTAATCCATAATCATCCGTTACCTTTTTTTTCCAAAATTCATCCATTAGACTCCTAGTTGCTGAGGAAAAGTAAGACGCCCTCCTACGCTAATTTATACATTTTGGGGATCTATTATTTAGAAGAAGTACAAAAGCGAAAGGTCTTAAATAAATCAGTTCTTTTATAAAATTAAATTTAGAAAAAAAAACCAGATTCCAAGGAGAATAGTTGGTGAAAATAAATGAAGTAAAAAACTTCCGCTCTATAAATTGGATTCCTTTATCCTATCATTCTAGTCAAATTCAGCGTTCGTTTACCATTTGTCAAGCTAAAAGCTAAAATAGTTATCATCTTCATTTCCTTTTCTAGAACAAAACTGAAGTAAACTCAAATCGAAACTTCAATTCATTATTTCTCACTTGATAGTACGCTTTTTCAGTCAACATAGGTTTCGAAAAACCATTCAATTTTAACCATTTTTGTTTTGTTATCAACTTGAAAAACATTGAATTCAGTTGTAAATTCAGCTCGTCTTGTAAGTATGGCATTTCATTTATACTTGTTTTCTCATTCGCTATCTGTCCAAATTAGAATGGGAAAATTTACTGTACTGCAATAAAAAACACTGACTCAAATCATACAGAATATATTACTTTACAAAATAAGCAGTTTTTCATTAGTGATGGCAAATATTAATTCAACCCCGGGGAATTAGTTCTTAGGGTCGCCTCAAACAGTTGTAGTTTAAAACTGAAAAATAAGTTTTCTTTTCAAATTTTTGACCTATTTAGTACTAAGCAAAACTGTACAAAGCTTAAAAAAGAACGTTTCGGCCTCTCGGATAACCTCTACACTCTTAATCTTGGAGAACCACTGGCAGGTAAAAAAAAAGTTTTTTCCCTTTATCTTTATATCAGGCTATTGTAAAAATAAGAAATTTAGCTCAAGACGTCAATTTTATGATGTGTCCTTTTGTAACCGTAATTTAGAACCTAAAATTTTATGTCACGGTGAGTGTTTTGTATAAAAACATTTTTTTTTGTGAGTGGTACGATTAATTTAAATGTGTGACAAAACAGGTTAATGTTTTCAAACTGATTTTTAAAATTTTAAAACTGATTAACAAACAGTTAACGTTTTTGTTGCCTTATTATGTCAATTTTTTTGTAACTTTGTCATCCATTCTAACCTAGGTCATCTAATTTAGCATAGTGTTTGTTAACTATAATTCAAATATTTACATCAAAACACGACCGCACAATTTTTTCCGAATGATTTGAATGATATGTCATTTTACGCCCTTTGAAACGTGATTCGAACGGCATTAAATGTTTTCAAGAACTCTCGGTAATAAAAAAAAATCAAACTTTACTTTTTATTCTAATTTCGATCGAGTAAGGCAAGCGAGTAGATTTTTTTCAGAAAAATGAGCCTCAGTTTGAGCTGTTAAACTTAGTTCATTTCACGACAACTGGTTTTCGAATCTTCATTTAGTGCTTCGGTGACCAGAAAGTTTTTTAACAAACCTAATTGTTCCGACTTTCGATACGAAAGTAACGGAATATTTGTGCTCGGGGTGGGTTTTTTTGTTTTCTTCAGACAAATTTCGACTTTTTAACTAGCCATTTTTGACGGAATTTTTTTATATCATTCGAAAGGTATTGTTGTCCTGAGCTTAAATTTGAAAAGATATTTCACCTGTGATCATTTTTCGTAAAGTTATGAGGGTTTAAAGATTTCCATTTTGGTCATTTTGACCAATTTGGGACAATTAACGCGCAATATAATTCGCGCTGTTAACGCGTAAGCGGAGATTTAATCCGTCTTATAAATCGTTCCAAATTGGTTGAACGAAGCTTATTTGCCATAATTGATTTGTTACAAGCGAAATCTATCTTTTTGTACTTTATATGGCGTGTGGGGGGATGATTTTCATTTTATTTTATTGCATTTAATTTTTTAAATGTATTATTGCTGCTCAATAAATCTTAAAAGGCAGTCGGAACATTCAGGGCTTCGTCCTGACACGAGCAGTCTTGTTCTTTTTTATTTTATATTCTTCTTTGAAGAAAACTGTTGTCAATTATGCCAAATTTACTATAATTAGGTTCTATGCTTCAGCTCAGATCCTCCTGTCTCACCACGGACAAATAACGACCCAGTTTGCTAGAAAACGGACTTTTAAGTCATTTTACCATTGTAGTCGGAGTTTTTCGTGCTACTTGCTTAGCACCCGGCAATCTTTTTAAATGATTTTCATCTTTGATGTAGTAATTATTTTCTACCAAAATGTTTTACCCGACATTTGTATGTCACTTTGGCTTGGAACATGGAATTTGATTTTTTATACGAAAAAGGTTTCATTAGCAAACTATGGGTCCTAGCTAAGCCCATATAGCATAGTTTTCAACGAAATAAAGAGCTCAAAACTTTATAAAAAGTTCAAAACAAAAAGTTTTATACAATTTTTAATTTCATTTGAAAAACTTAAACATTTTTAATTTATTTTTATTTTGTCGCCGAGTAACTGTTTTCAATATCTTTTTATTGTTGTAGATTTTTTTACTTTAGTTTCCTGATTTCAGTTTTGCAAATATTTGTGGTTAAATATGGGTTATTTTAAGTTGAATAAATAAGGTACTTCAAGTTGTACTTAAATATGGGGTGTTTCAAGTTCAGGGTTAAAAGTTTCTCTCTCCAAATTTTATTAGATTATGCGAGATTCAGTTGCGCTGTTTTCTGGATTTAGTTTTTTTTTAGTTTTTCTACGAAGGAGAAATCCAACCAAAACGGTTTGAATATACAATACTACCATTGCGCGCTTTAATATTGCGAACATTGCGAATCCAAAATCCGGCTATGGTTTCTTCCAGCGACATTGTCACGTCGTTGTTGTTTAAAAACAAGAGTTTTTTAAAGAACGCTCCAAAAATTGATTGATATGGTTTTTCGAATTTTTTAGTATGGCTACTATGACGATGAGTAGTGGAGTGACAGTGGAGATGAAGAGGACAGCCTTCAACGATTTGAGTGTTCGCAGCAGTCGGCGCATTCTCCAGTTGTGTGAGGAGAGCCAGAATAATGCGACACATACTCTGGTTGCTCTGGACCATCAGGGAGAACAACTCAATAGGTGCGTTGTGCTTGTGTGGTGCGTGTGTATAAGTGTGTATAAGTGTGTGTGTGTGTGTGTGTGTGTGTGTGTGTGTGTGTGTATAAGTGTGCGTGTGTGTTTGTCCTTTTGCGTGTTTGTGCGTGCGTGCGTGCGTATGTACGTGTTCGTGTGTGTGTTTGTGAGTAAAAATTATTTTGATAGTAAGGTGAGCTATAATTAGAAAGAGATTATTATCCCACGTTATGTTTACATCAAAAATGACAATTTCAAAAAACCCACGTATTTCAACAAAAAATAATCACCGCATTTTGGTAAAAGATCCTTATGAAATAGCTCAAATTACAATATTTTACAGGTTCTGTGAAAAATTCTGTCCAAAATTATTAATTAAAAAGTCGGAGTTGGTTGAATAAAAACCACGCCAATCATCAATACGCATTCAGTCACTTTCTTCGAAAGAGAAACAGCTGATTAACACTTTTGCTTATAGAATTTTGTGTTAATTAGTGAAACAATAGTGAAATTGTTCTTTAACCCTTAGTGAACTGAATAGCAAAATTTAAAACCAACGCCTTTACACAATCAATCAGTTCACACTAAAAACAACGGAAGCTAAACTTTCAGCCAAATTTAGATTCGATCAAATAACCAATTATGAGCCGAATTTCTGTTTCCTTAAACGACTATTCGAGAATAGCCTAACTTCCTCATTAAATCACTCGACACTAGACACTAAGACTAGACCCTTATTCTTCTAAAATTTTAGACTCCCCGCTATGTCCATGAATTTCTAACTAACGAGCCACCCCCGGGTTATGGCATCCCGTACCCACGGATTTTATTTAAAATATCTGAAATTCTGTATTTCTTACATATTTTGATTCTCAGATCTGAAGTTCGTTAGTTCAGATCATCTTGATAAGTATTTGATAATTTCTGATCTGAAATTTGGATCTGACATAGAAATTTTTAGACCTGAAATAACTTTGAAAAACAAAATTTGAGATCTGAAATTTGATCTGAATTAACCCAATCTGAATTAACCCATCTGAATTAACACAAAGTATCCAAGCGTTATTTTAACATTTCGCAATCTATTTCAGATCTGAAACAGATTACTTCAGATATGAATTAGAACATCTACAGGGTACGGGATGGCCCGGGGAAAAGCCAGAAAACTCAAATATTCAGTAAAACTTGTTTAAAAACTAACTCCAAAAAATTAGCGTCTGAGAACCAACCAATCCTGCGTAGTTTTCGATATCTGTGCGCGTCAATCTCCAAGATTATAAAAAAACGGTTTTTAAACACTTTAATTAATGAGTATTTTCTCGGCAAAATAACTCCGGAAATATAACGGAAATTTGAAAATATAACGATAATTTTAACAAACTCTATCATCGGTAACATCGGCCACAAACAACTGCATAAATCAAAGCAAGCTGCAAAAATGGCCAGTATTTGTCCTTGAGACAAATTGCTCTTTTTAAAGGTCAGCCTTAATCAAGGCTGAACCAAATTAGAGCGAAGAGACGGTTAAAATCGGTTTTGGGGGGACCGAACCTGGTTACGGGGCATCCCATCAGGTTCGGTGCACATTCGAGTTCTAGAAAGGAAATGACCTAGTCGGGATTCGAACCGGCGCCGAACCCGCCGGGACGCACCATGTATACGCTTGGCTACTGTCCCTGTATGCATTTACATTTATATGCATTTATACTTTCGCACATTTACGTTTATATGCATTTGTACTATTGTTTTATATTTGCGCTGCAACATCCTCCGCCCCTAAAGACGGAAGAACAGGTGCGAGTTTTACGGTCGGTCGGGTCAGTTCGCTCGTAACGGTCTTTATGTCGGCGGATCGGGCGCATCCGTCTTTGCCGTAGTGTAGTTTAGCAATACGGGCGAGTGGGTAATGCCCACGTGGGCTGTCGGGTTCGACTACCCAAACCAAGTCGCCGGTTTTCAGTGTGACATCCGAATCATTATGCCACTTTGCTCTCTTGTTGAGAGATGGTACATATTCACGCAGCCAGCGTGACCAAACTGCGTTAGCGTACGATTGTGCTCTGGCGTAACGCTTTTTATAATCAAAGTTATCTTCGAAACTTAACGACGGGAAGCTAGCTGCGCTGTGACCGAGAATGAAGTGATTCGGGGTGAGTGCCTCTAGGTCGTGCGGATCGGAACTGACCGGAGTGATCGGTCTTGCGTTAAGTAATTGTTCAACTAGGCAGAGCGTTGTTCCTAGAACTTCCTCAGTTAATCTCCTGTTGCCTAATATGTCGTACAACACTCGCTTAACACTTCTCACTAGCCGCTCCCAGGCGCCACCGTGATGAGGGGCACTGGGCGGGTTAAACTTCCACTTAATGCCTTTGTGGACGAAAACGGCCGGGGCGACTTTGTTCCAATTTTGGACACAGGATAGGAGCTCCTTTTGGGCACCAACAAAATTCGTGCCATTGTCAGAAAGAATGGTTTTGGGGGTACCTCGCCTTGCAATAAATCGCTCTACGCCCATGACGCAGGAACTAGTATCGAGAGATGGAACCAACTCGATGTGAACTGCTCGAGTCGTGAGGCAGGTAAATAGGAAACCCCATCTCTTTTCGGTACTTCGGCGTATCGGCACTTGAAACGGGCCAAAGTAATCAACACCTGTGTTGGAGAAGGGAGGCTGCTTGTAACCCAGTCTTTCAATCGGTAGGTCAGACATAATGGGCACAACTGTTTTTGCTTTGCGCTTACGGCATGTTATGCAAGTATTTTCGATGTTCCCAAGTAACCAGCGCAACTTCAGAACAATGTATTTCAACTGAACTACAGCACGCATGTAATCCAACCCCTGATGTGCATGTTGAAAGTGCATATGCCTAATCAACATATGAGCAACTCGGTGTCGACCATCCAGTATTATTGAATGTTTGCTATCAAAGTCGGTATCAACAAGACGGCTGATACGTCCAGTTGAACGCAGGATGCCAGCTGGGCCGATGAACGGAGAATATTTAGCAATCCGACTTTTCTTTGTTATCAGTTTATCGGACTGAAGTATTTTCACTTCGGCAGGAAATGATTCGGACTGAGCGAGATAAATGAGCTTCTGCTCGGCAATATCTAACTCGGACGGGTCGGTTATTTCAAGCGTTTTTGTACGGAAGTGTTTATGCGATGGTAGCACACGAAGCATAAACGCTAAAACACGTTTGTACTTTACAATTGAGCTGAATTTATCCCAATTTTTAAACAGACGGATCGACGGCGCTTTCTCAGATGAAGCATCAACAACAAACGTAGATGCAGTCTCAAGGCATGTATCAATGTCACAGAGTGGGCCTTTTAATTGGATCTTTTTGATGACATCAGTGTTCGGCTTGAATGGCCAATCACATGTCCTCAATATACTAGGGCCTCTAACCCAGCTGCTATCCTTGAGGGCTTCCGAAGAAATCCCTCGTGTGCCGGTATCAGCTGGGTTATCACCACTGAGTACATGATTCCATTGATCAATGGTGGTGGACTCCAAGATTTCACCAGTGCGGTTTCCAACAAACACAGGAAGTTTGTTGCACGAGTTAAGCCACTGGAGAACGGTGGTAGAATCAGTCCACATGAATACATTGCTTACTTTGAAAGTAAGCGCTTTCAAAATCTCTTCTTTGAGTCGAGTCGCAAGCAGAGCAGCCTGAAGCTCTAACTTGGGAATGGAGAGCATCTTCATAGGCGCTACACGGGCTTTCCCAAATACAAAAGCTAACTCGGTCTTTTGCGATTTAGCAAGTCGGGCCCGGAGAAACGATACGGCGCAAAAAACGTCCTGCGAACTATCACCGAACGTGTGAAGTTCACACCGGTCGAACGGTTCGGTAAAGTAGCTACGAGGTATCGTCAGAGTACCTAATAGTGGAAGTCCTGAGTGCCAATCTAGAAATTGTTGTTTAATTTCCTCTGGGAGATCATCATCCCACTTTTGACCACTGATTCTCCATATGTCTTTTAGTAAAAGGCGCGCTTTCACAGTATATGGAGCTACCAGTCCTATTGGATCAAAAACTGAGGAAACAAAACTCAACACGGTGCGTTGAGTAATTGCTTTATCTAGTGGTCGATCAACACCTCTACTTACTACTAGGGTATCTTTTACATGATCCCACCTGAGACCAAGAACATGCGACGATTGGTCTGGACTCTTACAAATATCCTTAACTGACGGGTTGGACTCACGGTTGTCCGGATTAAGAGCGGTTGTAACTTCGGGTACGTTGCTAACAAACTTTGTCAGGTTAAACCCACCTAATTTGAGCATTGCGACTAAGTCTTTACTTAGGCTAAGAGCGTCAGCGGTATTTTCGAACGAGTCAAGATAGTCGTCCATGTAAAACTTCTGGACAACGGCTGAAGCGGCTTCGGGGTATTCAGCTTGATTATCAGAAGCACGAGTTGGCGAATCACAAGTTGGCGAATCACGAGCGCCAAAAATATGACGGGTGTATTGGTGAACCACCACACTTGAAGTGGGGTCCTCCCGCCACAAAAAACGGAGAGACGGTTGATCTCGCGCAAGTACTCCAACTTGTAAGAACATACCTTCTATGTCCGCTGAGACGGCGTACTTGTGTTGACGGAACCTCAACAGTACAAAAATAAGATTTTGAAGGAGATCCGGGCCAACCAAGAGAGATCTATTTAAGGAAGTGCCATGAAATTTGGATGCTCCATTGAGCACACGGCGCACCTTGCCGGGTTTGTTCGGGTTCCAAACCGGATGGTGTTGAAGATACCACTCACGTTCGGCTCGTGAGCTGGGATCGTGCGGGTTGACGGTTATGACATATCCTTTACTTATATCTTCTCTGATTGTTTCGGTATACTTCTTGCGAAGTAACGGATCTTTATCTAATCTTTTCTCTAACGACTTTAATTGGGCTAATGAAGAATAATAATTGTTAGGCAAGCTAACATCATTATCACTCCACAGCATCGGTACAGTGTAACGCTCACCATCGTGAACG